CTAAGTAGCTGGGATTACAGATCTGCGCCACCACGCCCAGCTAATTTTTGTATTTTTGGTAGAGAAGGGTTTCACCATATTGGCCAGGCTGGTCTTGAACTCCTGACCTCATGATCTGCCCGCCTCGGCCTCCCAAAATGCTGGGATTACAGGCATGAGCCACCGTGCCCGGCTTGTTAGACATAGTTTTATAGGTAGCATAAATTTTATTTGGACTGGGCACAGTGGTTCACACCTATAATCCCAGCACTTTGGGAGAATGAGGTGGAGGGATCACTTGAGCCCAAGAGTTAGAGACCAGCCTGGGCAACACAGTGAGACCCCATCTCTACAAAAATTTAAAAAATTATCTGGGTATGGTGGCATGTGCCTGTAGTCCCAGCTACTCAGGAGGCAGAGGTGAGAGTATCGCTTGAGCCAAGGAGGTCGAGGCTGCACTTAGCCATAATTGTACCATTGCACTCCAGCCTGGGTGACAGAACAAGACCATGTTCCGTCCCCCCCCCCAAAAAAAATAGAATATTTGTCTTGAACTTAGATCCAGTTCAATTTTCTTTTGTTAACATATCTGGAAATATATAGTTCAATATTTTCTCTCCACAAATAAACAGTTAGCTTAACACATATGGTGCCTCATAAATCCTTTCTTAAGAACTGCTGTGAGGAACATGTAAACAGTGAAAAGTTCATGTTATTGTGTTAACAATGGGCATAAGGGATGTGGCAACACGGAGGAGGAAGTGATCCATTCGTTATTGAGGGAGAAGAGGCGTGAGTGACATTTATACTCAGGAAATTGAGGAATTACATTGGGACAGAAATGGCAAAGCAGGTATTGAAGCATCAGAGGAATTTGTACTGGATTCGTGATTCCAAAATGTAATCTGGGGGCCAGTGTTACTTTAGAATGACACCCGACAAAGAGTGTTTTCATTGGTTTGCAGCAAAATGAGAAAAGTAAGAAAAAATATTATTTTTCATAAAACTTATTCAAGCTGATTATTTTTTTTTGGAGATGGAGTCTCATTCTGTTGCCAGGCTGCAGCACAGTGGCACTATCTCAGCCCACTGCAACCTCTGCCTTCTGAGTTCAAGTGATTCCCCTGCCTCAGCCTTCCAAGTAGCTGGGACTACAGGTGCACACCACCACGCCCAGCTAATTTTTTGTATTTTAGTAGAGATGGGGTTTCACCATGTTGGCCAGGAGGGTCTCCATTTCCTGACCTTGTGATCCACCCACCTTGGCCTCCCAAAATGCTGGGATTACAGGCATCAGCCACCGGCCCTGGAAATTTATATTTATTTTGAGGTATGTCTTTCCTGTGCTGTCATTAACGTATATATTTGTGAAATCAGTTATATTTCTATATATAAGCATCGAGCAATTAGAAAATAAAATTTCAAAAATATAGCATTTATAATAGCATCAAAAATGTCAAACACTGCCAGTGTGGTGGTTCATGCCTGTAATCTCAGCACTTTGGGAGGCCAAGGTGTGAGGATCGCTTGAGCCCAGGAGTTCGAGACCAGCTAGGGCAACATAGTGAGATCCCATCTCTACAAAAAATAAAATGATTAGCCGGCCGTGGTGGTGTGTACCTGTGTTCCCAGCTACTTAGGAGTCTGAGGTGAGAGAATCACTTGTCCGGGTGGCAGGGTAAGCCC